TAAGACTGACCATAACAATACTAACAATACTATATCCTATGCACACAAATATTACACGACCTTAAGTTCACTGTTCTTTCAAGGAAAATATTTTCAAAAATCATTTTTAGTACAATAGATCCTTAACATGTTCAAACTCATTACTTGAACATGTACAAATAGGTTCAAATACGTTATATTTATTTTAATCTACACTCACATATATTTGGTAAAAAAATTAGATGTAAAATTAGGTTTTTAAATTTGACATTCTTCCCGAAAGAAATTTTAAACTGTATTGACACTAATCTAATTTTAAAAGTTCTGTTTTGTTGAAGATGGTAACACTAAATGTAATATTGAGTTGAAGATGGTTACAATATATGTAAATTTTTCTGATCATGTATTATAAATCTATAAAATCAAAAAAATATTCTTGAACATGGTAACAATACATGTTAAATTATTAAATTTTCATTTGAAATTGAAAAAAAAATCAGTATATATTAAAAATTTAATAGTATAGGAAAATATAAAAACTTACCAATACAAAATTTAATCAAATATGCTTTAAATTAAATACATCTTTTTTTAAAAAATCAATGTAAATATGATGTTATGAAATTAATCAAATTTCATAATTTAGAACAAGACGTGAAGAAAACTTTTTATACTCTTCCACAAATTTCCGGCATATTTACGAATCTATTCAATTATAACATCATTTACACTTAGAATTCAGATACTGTTTAATTATGGTTTTTAAAAATTAACGTGCATTGTTTAAAATGTAAACAGATCTATAATTTTTATTTTTTAGAAATTTAAAAAACTACGGAAATTTTGAAAACGTTAAGAAATCAACATATCTGACAAAAATTCTAAAACATAATAAATGGGAGTATGAACTGCAAAAAAATTAGGTCTTTATGAACAATGAAATAAAGATACCAGCGAAGAGAGGCATGAAAAACCGGCGATGACAACCTCCATCTCTCGAAGCCCTCTCTGTCTATCTCTCTCCTCTGTATGTCCGTTCTTTTCCCTCTTATCACCGTATATATTGGTGGAAGATTTGGGCTGTTTTTGTAAGGGCCAAGTATGGATTTGGGATGTGTGTCATGGATTTGGGCTTTTTCACTCAATTGCCCGTTTCAACATACAGTTTTTTTTTTTTTAAGGCAAGATACAGTTTTTTTATAGGAAAAATGTGAAAAAACATTAAAAAAGGGTTAACTAAGTACTCCCTCTATCCTAATTCTTTTTTTCCAGCTTGACTATTTCCCATTTTTTATTTTTTGCTTTGACTTCAAAATTTACCCTCCTGAAAAAACATTTTTTTGAAAATTGTTTTTGCAATCATTCTAAATATATGAGGGTATTGTTGTCATTTAGGACGGAAAAAAAATGGAAGTGGGAAGAAAGTTTTAGGACAGAGGGGTAAATTAAAGGACTTAAAAATTAGTGACGTAGGATGGGCATTATTTTTTATTTGTGATGATTGTGCGATACAGACACCGCCTATACTCACACCATCGTTACCGCAACGATCTGAACGAGTTAAAATTCCAAACAAAAAGTATTTCAATGATGATTATGTCCTTGATTAAGATTATCAATATGTTCGTAAGGAACTTAATGTTGTTGCTTTTGAATTGTACGATTATATAATGGTGGAACAATTTGTAAAACTTTCTGTATGTGATGTATTCGACAAGTTTTGGGGAACGATATAAAGGATGTAAGCAAATTTGTATGCCTATTATGATTATGACCAAGATTAGTTTTCCTTATTAATTTCAACATTCATATCATTACTTATTCATAGACTCATCATTCTATGTATTGTTATTGTATTCCTTTTTATTCTTAGCTATTTAATTGAAACATCATTAATATGCATTTCAAAATTTCAATTTATAACATATCTCGAAAATGATTTTGATAGAAAATAGAAGATCCAATGTTTCGAAAGAAAATTCCACTTCTACAAGTTTTGTTAGAGTAAATTTGATGACAAACTCTCTCTTGCAATCTCTTCCACTCCAAAAACATCATCAATGCAAGATATGGTTGACTCCATCTTCATTGTTGAATTTAACGAATGGTATGTTCATTGAATTTTTGTTATATGTATTATGAACATGTTAGTTTATCTCCTATTCAAAAAATATACTATTCAATTTTGTAGTTAATGTTTCAACGCCTTTTGATCGCTTACCATTGACTCCATCAAGTCATTCAATTGCATCAGCTCTAAACTCTTTTAACCGGGACACATATCAGCTTCAAAGTTGTCTTACACACGTTGGTTTTGGTAGAAAAAAAATGTGGAAGGTGTGTTTCAAATTTATTATTAAATATTTTTTATTATTTATTACTATTTATGGTACAAATTAATTTGTTTTTATATAATATTTTCTTGGTATTCTTTAACATTTTATTTTTAACTACAAACAGTGAACGAAGACAACAGTTCCTCACAGAATGTTGATCCACTAATTGACATTTTTATCACTGAAACTTGGGGTGTAGATTCTTATAACAATACTGAAAACCATCACGAGACAAATTCAGATGTAGTTAGAGATTTGGAAATGGATTTCATTAATGCTAGAGAATTTAGTCATGATCATCAAGTTAGAGCTTCACGCAGAATCTCTCCCAATAATGTAGATTATTGGGACGTTGGTGATTGTCTCCACAAGTGTAAGAATTGCAGTGCTTTCTTTTAGCTTGAAGAACGATTAGTTAGTCAATCATCGAAGAAGAACCCAAAATATTCGTTGTGCTGTAAACACGGCAATATCAAACTGGCACCAATCAAGGAACCACCAATGTGTTGTACCCGAGACCCGGGGTCTTATTGAGTAGCTATTTTGGAGAAGGATTTTCGGAGAAAAATAGACGATGGAATTGAAGGGATGAAAATATGGAGTATGGGAAAGAGTTCTTTTTGGGTATTTTGATTTATGAAAAGAGAATAGAATGTGGCTTAGGAAGAGAAAATGGAGAGTAACGAAATGGGCAGAAAACAAGGATGGATAAACCAAATAATGAATAAGAGATAAACACACTCTTATTATATTTGGGGCTGTTATCTATTTCACACATTAATAATCACTACTAATGTATAAAATTAGACTCCTAACACGCACTCAAAAGTAGCCAACTTTAGAGATATTTCATTAGGAAATTTGGTTAAAAAAGAATCACACTATTTTAAAGGAATTACTCAAAAGAGTAAACAAGGTTTTTAATTCAATCATCTGGTGTGTTACAATGGCCTCATGGCTGAAGTATTTATACAACACAAATAAGGAAAAATACAAGAAAAAGGAAGGAAGAATACAACAAGGAAGTTTCCTACTTCTTTCCTACAAATCAATGCTTAATGCCCATCCATGTGAGTTGTTTTTCCATGATGCTTCTCCTGATTTTGAGCTGATCTTCTTTGGGTTTATTTGGGCAGAAATTTCATGCCTTTATGGAAGAAAACAAAGGGAAATCAAGCTTTTGACAATTGTAAATAAAATGCCAAAACAGCATTATTCATTCAATGACTTTGTTTGTGAATTTTGTTCCTTTGTGTCAAAAGTGATCATGCTTTTGTTTTATGAAAGAAAAGGCTTTATTCTTTGTTGAAAATCAGGGAATAACTTCAGCCTAATACCCAAGCTTAGAAAAGGCAAAAAGGAATTGAATAGCTTTGAGTTTCAATGTTCAGGGATGTAGAATAATCGATTGCCATCTCTAAATAATCGATTCACAAGATTTGGTTTCAATCCGGAAATGTTCAGAGAAACCAAATAGTCGATTGACATTCAAAGACAATCGATTATCAAGGGCTTGCTCAAAGCTGGGTACTTTCCAGAGAGTAGAGATAATCGATTATTACTTTTAAGATAATCGATTATGTCAGGTTGCTGGTTTTGTGAAGAGGAATCAGAGAGCTATAATAGTCGATTATCAATTATGTATAATCGATTATTCAGGGCTTTAGAATAAAGGTTGGAAGAGAACATGGGAAAGGCATAATTTGGATAAAAAGGATTTGAAAAGAAACAAAGGTTTTAAAAGATAATAAGAAACTAAGGTTTGACTTGTCTTCCTTTGATTTCATTTTTGACCTAGAGTTAAAAATTGATGGGAAAGACTTTATTTTGAATTAAAGAAAAGAAAGAAGATTTTTGGATATGTTGGGAGAGTTGGGATTTTGGTGGAGCCATCCAGGGGTACATCACAATGCCTCTAAAGGACATGCTTATTGGGACATATGTTGAGAGTAAGCACTTTCAAACTAATATTCGCTCTTACAACTGCATGTTCTCTTTCACATCTTTTTGCAATTTCACGTGTTACAAGTCGTGAGAGGTTAAAAATCTTGATTTGCAATAGAGACTTTCCATCAATGAACAAAACTACAAATGTTGTTTATAAAGAAGTGTTCCAAAACTTATAATAACAATGCATTTCGACTAATGTCATTATTGTACACTACCTTATTTTGGGCAATTATCATAAAATTTGTAATCTCTTTATTTTTGCAACATTTTATGTTATTCCATCTTAAGTGTAATTTCAATTTTTTTACTCCCCGTGCATCGTACGGGTACGAGTCTAGTATTATATCCATAATTAGGGAATGAAAACATAAGAACATTGCTTTATTTATTTTTAAATTAAATGCAGTAGACTAATCTAATATAAAGGAGTAGAGTATATAGAACTAAAAGAAACCAGAAAAATAGCATTTATTGGGAGTTATGTTTGTATCGTGGTTCATTAAATTTAATACAAACAATAACATAAAAAATATAAAATCTGCCTGCAAAAAATATAAATTTAATGACACGCCAGAAAAATCACGTATTCGTTATTCCTTTATAAATTTATGCATTCATGGATCTGTAAACATGAGATTCGTGCTTCGAAATGATCAAGGGAACATCCTCTCACACGGATCTAACAAAAAACAATGAAAAAAATGTATAAATCTCAATCAAATGATGGAAAATCATCACGATAATATGAGTCTTAAAATAAGAAAAGAAAACATATCAACAATCCTAATTCGAGAAACATTAATCACTGAAAATAAAAATTGATACATCTATAAAATTGGTCTATCATGGGTGACCGCCCGATCTTAAACATGGTACATACATCATTCTTCTTTGATGAAGAAATGAATGAGAATCGATTTCATGTTTGTTTTCTAGAATAGCACAATGAAATTATGAAAAAAACACAACAAAAGAATATTCATACGAAAAAACTATCCAGAGCGTAGGAGTAATCTCCGTTGGAGGAGGTCGCATCCTTGGACTGCCAACAACAGACAGGAATTATTTTCTATGAAGGAGATAAGAATATGAGACAGATGATACGAAAGATATGTTCGAGAAAGGTGCGGCGGAAAGAATGGTGTGTGGGAGGAGAAAGTGGGGAGTACATACGTAGGTTGGTAGATTAGGTTAAATATTGGACTGGGCCGGATGTATTTTGGGCTGGGCAGTTAGGTTTTATGTTTAATGGGATGAAGCTTGATTAGTGTACATTAATTGTTAAATTAATTTTGGTGTTATAATGTTGGAAGTAAAAATATTATTTAAGTTTCTAGCTTTATTTATTTAAGATATGTAGTCCTAAATATATTAAAATTTATTAAAGTAGTTAAATCAATAAATTAATACATGATTTCAATGAATGAAGAAGATGAGAAGATCTACTTGAGTGTCGATAGTGTTTGCCAGTCCGACATGAATGCCTTTTTAGTTAGGATTTACACACCACAGATTATTTAAACTCGATCAGATCTTCAGGAATTCCAAACCAAAAATTAACACTGAAAGTTGGCACTCCGATCATGCTCTTGCGCAATATTGGTCCTGATAATGGTCTTTGCAACGGAACGCGTTTAATTGTTACAAGACTTGGTAACCGTTTATTGGAAACAAAGATGATTCATGGGAAAATGCAGGACAAATAGTTTTAATACCGCGTGATGGAGGACGACTCCAAAAGACACATCAGCCGGACCCCATCATCCACGTGGAAGATCTTCTCTACTCGGCTCGCCCTATGGGCTCGGCTTGGCCTGCGAGCTCGGCTAGGGACCGTGATAGCGACCGGCCGTGTTGACTGCGTAATAGCGACGGGATGAAAGGGACAACGCATAACATAGATGACGTCCGCTAGGCAACGAACCTCGGTCAGAGAAACTTTGACCATGTGTATTGTATCCCCTATAAAAGGGGCGAGACCCTTCATTGTAATGGATCGAAGTTTAGAACAAATAAACTCCTACTTTGCATTCTTTCTCTCTAAAATTTATCTCATTCTTTATTCTCGGTGGTTTATAACGATCAAATTGCTGCTCTCATTGAGAGTTGAGGAGCATACTCGTAGGTTAACTCCCGGAAGCGAGAATGGTGCAACAAAGGAGCAACGTCCCCACCACCAGCCACACAGTTGGCGAGGAGAATGCACCGGGCAGCGGCAACGGTACGGGAGGTATCGGCTCGACTCCGGACGCGCTCCAGGTGATGTTCGGCTTGGGGGTGACCATGGAGCAGCTCCAAGCAGCCATTGCGGCACTTTTCGCCTTGGGTGGGAACGTGCCCGGCACCGGAGCTGGTAAAGCTCCACCCGGTCCCCACACCGAACACGCCGCCACTTCCGAACACAATGGGAAGAAGACCTGGAGGAGCAGAAGGAGGCCCGGCAAGGCCTAGGTGATCGAGGAGGTGATTGTGGAGGACGTCCCGGAGGAGGAGGACGATGAGTCCAGTGAGTGTCGAGTGTCAGCCTTCAGACACTTAGGAGGGGAAGAGACCCAGGTGTCGGCCTTCGACAGGCTCGACCGGGGACCAGAAGTTCGCCTGGGTGACCCCCGCCGACAAATAACCGAAGGCAGGAAGAGGCATGCTGAGGAGTCCGCAACATCGGATGCTCGCTCGGCGATGCCCGAGCGGAGTGGGGAGAGGCAGGACGAGCGCAACCAACGTCGCCACAGTCCGACCAGAACTGAGAAGACAAAGGTCTCTGACCAAGGGGTATCTCGACTCGCTCGTGAGATTGCCGAGTCAAACGCCGGGTAGAGACCAGGGCCCCGTATTGCCAGCCCAATTTGCAGACGGTGACCCCGTTCACTCTGAGGGTTATGTCGATTCCGCAACCGGCGAAGTTTCAGCCGTGGTAGATCAAGGCCTACAACGGAACGACGGACCCCAAGACCATTTGTCTAAGTTCTACGCTTCCATGGAAGCGGCGGCAGCCCCGAACGAGGTCAAGTGCAAGTGTTTTCTCGCCACGCTGGAGGGTTCCCCATGTGATTGGTTCAACTGGCTCCCAAAGGGAACCATTGACGATTGGGATACGCTAGCGGAGAAGTTCCTGACACACTTTGCGGCCAATCGAAGGCAGAGGCTACCTTACTCCCACCTGCTCAGCATATGCATTCGTAAGGGAGAGAAGATCCGCGACTCCATAGTCCAGTGGGAGAAGGAGGCCAGAGACGTGCACGGGGTGGATGACCAAGCTTTGGTGGTCATGTTCCAAGCAGCCCTCCCCCGCGGAGAGGTGAGGAAGGAGCTCCACAAGAATCCTCCCCCCACGTACCAAGAGACCTTGGCACGCGCTAAGTTCTTGGCCTAGGAGGCTGCGACGACCAAGCGGGCTCCTGCAGAGTCGGGGGAGAGTGCGAAAAAGAGGAAGAAGAAGAAAGATTACACCGCGTGTCCTAGGATGCCCTCAGCCGGAGTGTACTCCGTGGGAGTGCCCATGGGGACGGGTCGAGAGCTCGCCCTCTCTCCGCTCCCTCATGTAGAGGCTTACGCAGTGTCCAGCGGCGTCAAGTACTGTTAGTACCAACGCAACAACACTCATAACACTCTAGAAGAAAATGCAGAGACTCATTGCCCGAGGGCCGCCTCCACGAGACGATGGAGCAGCCCCATCAAGGGGGCCGCCAGAGGGAAGAACTTGGAGAAAGCCGACCGAGCCGGTCGTGGTGGCCATGCAAGCAAGGAATCCTGAGAAGAGGCATATTGGGCGAGAGTGCGATGATCTAGACGAGGATGAAGCCAGAGGATATCCAGTGGGATTTATCCATGGAGGAAACATTGGCTCAGAGGAAGAAGTGGAAGCACATGGCCTTCGTCGCCAAGGTCAAACAGGCGCCGGCGCCCAAGCTCGGCAGACGAGAGCAAATCCAATTCACGGAGAAGGATCTTCCGATTGAGCCGAGCCCCCATCGAAATGCCTTGGTCGTAAAAATAGAGATTAACAATGCCATAGTGCACCGCACCTTGGTGGACACGGGAAGCTCGGTTAACATAATGTATGAGAAGACATTCCAAGACCTCGGCCTGGACCGCAAAGACTTGAGGCCGGTGTGCACTCCTCTCTCCGGGTTCACGGGGGACTCCATCGAGGCTGAGGGAGTCATCACGGTGCCCGTGATAGTAGGGGATGGTGCGCACAAGGCCAAGCTAAAGATGGAATTCATGGTTGTAAGCATCAACTGCGCGCACAACATGATTCTAGGGCGGCCCGGCCTTGAGGACTTGGAATGCGTGATCTCCCCATATTAACTGTGCATGATGTTCTCCACTCCGTCCGGGATTGGGGTGGCGAGGGGAGATCAGTAGTTAGCTCGATCACGCTACGTCCGAATCACTAAAAAGTTTCCAAGAGATGAGACGCTCGTAGTGCACGCGCAAGACGAAATGCGGAAGCTGGAAGCATGGCCGAAGGCCGAGCCCGCTGAGGAGGTTGAGGAAGTGCCGCTCGACCCGAATATACCCCAGCGAAAGGTTAAGGTCGGAGCGAGCTTGACGAGGAGCCAGCGGAAGCGTTTGCTGGACGTGCTCCCCGCCTACCGCGTGATCTTCGCGTGGGGACCCAGGGATATGCCGGGGGTGGACCCTAATCCGGAGTCTAGGCCGGTGAAGCAGAAGAAGTGTTTCCTCTCGTCCGAGCGGAGGGAGTTTGTCTCCAAGGAAGTTGCCACATTCCAAAGCATTGGGCATATCAGAGAAGTTAAGTACCCGGAGTGGATGGCGAACGTGGTATTGGCTCCGAAGGGAAACACTTGGAGGATGTGCGTGGACTGCACCGATCTCAACAAGGTGTGCCCCATGGATCCGTTTCCACTCCCAAACATCGACCAGCTGGTGGATGAGACAGCGGGCTGCGAGCTCATGAGCTTCATGGACGCCTTCAGCGGGTACCATCAAATTCGAATGCACCTTGAGGACGAAGAGAAGACGTCTTTCACTACCCCCGGCATAGTGTATTGTTACAAGGTGATGCCTTTTGGACTCAAGAACGCTGGGGCAACCTACGCTAGGATGGTGAGCAAGCTCTTCGCGCCCGTCCTCGGGAAGAGCATGGAAGCGTACGTCGACGACATGATTGTGAAGAGCAAATAGGCGACCACCCATGCGGAAGACTTAGAAGGAGTTTTCAAGGTTATGGAGAAGTACAACCTTCGGCTGAATCCGAAGAAGTGCACGTTCGGAATTCAAGGCGGTAAATTCTTGGGACACATAGTGAGCAGGCGCGGTATTGAGTCCAACCCCGAGAAGGTGCGTGCCATCCTTGACATGGAAGCTCCACAAAATGTCAAGGAGGTGCAGCGCTTGATTGGAAAGTTGGCGGCGATCAGCCGTTTCCTCTCCAAAGTGGCAGACCGAGCCGCTCCCTTCTTCCAAGCCGTGAAGAAGTCTCGAGGATTCGTATGGACGGAAGACTGCCAGCAATCCTTTGAATCTCTGAAATCTTATCTCCTCTCTTCGCCGGTCCTCGCCAAGCCCGAGCCCGGGGAGACCTTGTATCTTTATTTGGGGGTGTCGACCAAGGCACTAAGCTCGGTCCTGGTCCGAGAAGAAGGCGGAGCTCAGCACCTAGTGTACTACACGGCGGAGACGCTGAGGGGTGCCGAGCTCAGGTACTCAGTGGCCGAAAAGGTGGTCCTAGCCGTAGTGTCAACTGTGCAGCGGTTGACGCCATACTTCCAAGCTCACCCGGTCCAAGTACTTTCCCAGCAGCCTATAGGCGCGCTGCTCCGGAGTGCGAACGCGCCCTCTCGCATGTCCAAATGGGCGGTGTTCCTTGGAGCCTTCCAGATCAAGTTCAAGCCAAGACCGGCGATCAAGGGACAAACGCTAGCCGACTTCGTGGTAGAGTGCACCGCTCGAGAAGAGTCGAGCCCGGAACCTGAAACCGATGATTGGTGGACAGTTTTTACCGATGGCTCCTCCGCTGCCAAAAACAAGGGTGGTGGAGTGGTAGTCATCGCTCCCGAAGGCTTCAGAGCATATTGCTTAGTTCGATTCGGCTTCAAGGCATCAAATAATGAGACGGAGTATGAAGCGCTCTTGTGCAGGCTACGCCTAGCAGCCGGGATGAACGCGACAAAGCTAAGGATAAAGTGTGATTCAAAGCTCGTGGTTGGCCATGTCTCGGGAGGGTTCTAGGCGAAGGACGAAAGAATGAAGAAATACATAGATATGGCTCTAGAGCTACTTAAAAGCTTCACCGCATATAGTGTCGAGCAGATCCCCCGGGCAGAGAATGCCGAGGCGGATATCTTATCGAAGCTGAGCTCAGATACGCCCGAGCACATCAGGCGGATGGCAAGCGTGGAAGAGCTGTCCGAGCCGAGCATCCATGCCTTCCTGGTGGCGATGATCTGTGCTCGGCCTAGAGATTGGACGGACGACATAGTTGCCTTCTTGAAGGATGGCGCCCTCCCGGATGATGCAATAAAGGCCAAGCTAATCCGGACTAGGGCACCCGGGTACACTTTAGAGGGCGAAAAGCTATAGAAGCGAGCGTACAACGGTACGCTACTCAAGTGCCCCCGACCAGCTGAAGTGGAACAAGTCATAGAGGAGGTGCATGCAGGGATCTGCTCCGCCCACCAAGGAGCATACGCGGTGTCAAGGAAGATAACCCTCCAATGATATTTTTGATTAACAATTGTTAAAGATTGCGCGGAGTTTGTGAGGAAGTGCAAGATTTGCCAAGAGTTCTAGAAGGTACCGGGGAGGCCTTCAACAAACTATACCCCCATCAGCACAGCTATTCCGCTCGCACAGTGGGGGATGGACCTCGTGGGCGCGCTTCCTAGAGGTACTGGGAACGTAAGGTACGTCATGGTAGCCATCGACTACTTCACCAAGTGGGTGGAGGCAGCCCCATTGGCAAGCATCACCGGAGCTCAATGCCTGAAGTTTCTCGCAAAGCAAGTCATCTGCCGCTTCGGCGTTACCGAGCACATAATCACAGACAATGGGACACAATTCAAGTCCAAGCTCTTCAATTCCTTCCTCTAGAGTTGGGGGATCAAGCACAACTATGCGTCGGTCGGGTACCCTTAGACAAATGGTCATGTCGAGAACGCCACCTGAAAGATAATTGATGGTCTGAAGCAGAAGTTGGAAGCTTGTGGAGTGGAATGGGCAGAGGAGTTGCCTTATATCCTATGGACCTACCGGACCACGCCTAGGAGGGAAACCGGGTAAACCCCCTTCGCTTTGTGCTACGGATTCGAGGCAAGGGCCCCTGCGGTGATCTCCACCGCAACTCACCGGGAGGAGATCTTCGACCCTGAGCGTAACGAAGAAGCCCTAGCTGTCGAGCTCCATCTCGTACACGAGAGGCGAGAAGAGGCCTTCATACGGGTATAAAATTACCGAAGGAAGGTGAAGAGCTACCATGACGGGCGTGTGCGCGCATAGGGGTTCATCGAAGGAGACTGTGTGCTGCGCAAGAGGTCCGTAAGCCGCGCCCTGGAAGGTGGGAAATTTGCCAAGAACTACAAAGGTCCTTACATCATCAAACAACTAGTAGGCCCCTCGACGTTCCGCCTGCAGACGCTGAGTGGAAGGGATGTGCCCAGGATTTGGAATGCCGAGAACATGGTTAAGTTTTATCAATAGATCTCGAATGTACACGGCCCCTAGAATAGGGGAACCCGTAAACCTTATGATTGAATTCAATGAAATGGAATTTTTGCAAACAAGGTCCAAATATTCGTGCTCGGCACCCCTTCTCAGGGGAAGAGCCGAGCGCAGACCATACCCGGATGTTCTTCCCGGACGAAGGTCAAACATTTGTGCTCAGCACCCCTCCTCAAGGGAAGAGCCGAGCGCAGACCATACCCGGATGTTCTTCCCGGACGAAGGTCAAACATTCGTGCTCGACACCCCTCCTCAGGGGAAGAGCCGAGCATAGACCATACCTGGATGTTCTTCCCAGAGGAAGGTCAAACATCCGTGCTCGGCACTTCTCCTCGGGAGAAGAGCCGAGCGCAGACCATACCCGGATGTTCTTCCCAAACAAAGGTCAAACATCTGTGCTCGGCATTCCTCCTCGGGAGAAGTGCCGAGCGCAAAACATACCCGTACGATTTTCTCGAACGAAGATCAAACATTTGTGCTCGGCATTCCTCCTCGGGAGAAGTGCCGAGCGCAAACCATACCCGTACGATTTTCTCGAACGAAGATCAAACATTTGTGCTCGGCATGCCTCCTCAGGAGGAAGGCCGAGTGCAACCCTTCGGGCTAATGGCGAAAAGCAAAAACAAGACTTAATCAAATCCAAATTTTATTCATCCCCGGAAAACGGTCAAGTACATGGCACAAACGCCTTACAATAATTAAAACACCTTACAATAATTGAAATACGGGTAAACTTCAATGCATGACACAATTCCACCCCCGCTCGCACGGGCAAGAAGGGGCTTAGGAGGGCGGAGAAGGAGCCCTACTGACGATGGAGTGCCTGGTAGACTCGTCGTAACTGGGTGAGCCTGGGTCTTCAAGGGAGTGGCGGCTCGGATGATGGGACGCCACAGAGCTTTCACTCGGTACCGCTGCCGGAGGAGCTGGAGGACGACGCCCTCGGCCCACACGGTTGGGAGCGACAACCTTGCGACGAGCCGGTGGAGAGGGAGTCTTCGCGTCCTCCTCAGATGAATAGTAGATAAACCCCGGGATCTTGGCATAGGGATCGGGGTGCACCGACTCAGACTCGGAGTCAGAGTCCTAAGAGTCCCGCGGCGAGGGCGGTGGGGTCGAGCTCGAGCTTGGCCCCGACTTGGTCGGAATGACAGAAGAGCCCCTAGGGGAGTAGCTACTGAGGGAGAACGTCTCTCCTCGCATCTCACTGGAGTCGGGGGGAGTGGGAGCCGAGCGCGGCATGACAAGATTTGAAGGAATTCAAAGATGAGTGGAAACAAATTGTGAGGACCCCCCCCCCCCCTTATATAGGCATCTTGCCAAGGGGGAAGGTACACGTGGCAGCACGGGCACAGTCAAACTGGCGGTAGGTCAAAAGGTCCCAAGTCGTAAGGTTGTCTCGGTTAACGAGGGGACAGAAAAGGGACCAAGTCCCAAGGTAACCTCTCTTCGGCATGGCCGAGCTCAGGTCGGATGGGGGATTGGCGAACACATAAGTGAAAGGGAAAGACGAAGGCAGTAAAATTAAAGGCAGAAGAGAAAGCATAGCATATCCATACAAAGTGAAAAATCTGAATCCAAAAACAACAAGTTCTGAGCAGCATTACATCAAATACAACAAAGTTTAAGTCACATCACTCGGCATTCTCCTGCTCACCGACCGTGTCCCCGCCATTCGGGTAGTAGATGGAAGTGTCGAACTCATCAGGGTTGTCGCACGGTTCAGGGAAGTCCAACCCAGCGAGGAACCTATCAGAGTAGGGGTGGACACGGTACGGTTCCGGGACGGTTCCGGAACCGCCGGTTCCGGTACCGCCACGCCAAGTAACCGGAAATGTTACAGTGCCGGCCGGTACCGGTTCCGGTACCGGACCGGCCCGGTTCCGGTACCGGACCGGCCCGGTTCGGCCCCCCCCCCCCTTTTTTGCTTTTTTTTTAAATTTTTAAAGTATAAAATTGTAAATTTGCAATTGTTTAAGGAAAGAATGAAGTAAAAAATCTAAAAATGTAGTTGTTATTTAAATATTGAAAATGAGTAATACACTAACTGAAGAACAACCACATTTAATATCCTGACGGTTCAAAAAAGCGACGAGGTAAAGAACCGTAAAGAAACCCGCGAAGGAGCTTATATATCGCTCACCTAAAAAAATTAATTACATATTTACATTAACATAAAAAAAATTTATAACTTATTCTTCAGAACTCGGACTTCCATCTGTGGTTGCATTCATGTAATGCTCCGATTCGAGTTGGTACGATGACTCTTGAGCCCGACGTCTTGCCAAGAGCCAATCTTGGTTGCAAACCAGTGTTTCAAGAGATTCAGCGTTAAGACAACTTCGGTAGTCGGTTAGAATGTTGCCGCCAGCACTGAATTCT